ATATAAATAATTTAAAGCTTATACAAATCTTCAAAAGAAAAAAAGAAAGTCTGGCATAAAGTGAGCTCATGACAAATGTTTGTTCTGAGATTACAGGAAATCATCAGACACTGGTGTGTGGGTATGGAAAAATTATAGGGTTCCAGGGAATAACAATCCCTCTTCCTCCTCCTCCTCCTTCATCCTCCTCTTTTCCTCCACTGTCTTCTCCTTCATCTTTCTTTCCCGGTCATCTCAGATGGTCAGGATCGAGAGGCATTTTCTTTTCTTTTTTTTTGTAGCCCTGTTATAATAGGTTTGCAGGAAATAATGAAGATGGATAGAGTTTATATAACAGAACTTACCAAACCAGTTTTCGATAATAGAGAACAAAGACAAAATGAAAATAATTGTGAATAATAATCATAATTGCCATCACTGAGTATTTATTGTTTTGAGAACATTGCTGTTTTTAAAATGTTACATTTCTTTTGGTCCTTATAAAAAACACAAGACATTGATACTAGTCCTCATTTCATAGCTGGGGAACCAAATGTATAGATAACTAAATAACTTGCTAAAAATCATGTAGTTAGGAAATAATGAAACTGGGACACTCAGGCCAGGTTTTCAGTCTTTAGACATAGCATCTCACCAGGCATGGGGAACTGAGGCAGGAGATCACCATGAGTTTGAGACCAACCTGGGCTACATAGTGAGTTCAAGACCAGCCTGGATTATGTAGTGAGAATCTATCTCAAAAAAAACAAAAAAACACAAAACACAAAACAACAACAAAAAAGTATATAGCATCTCTCACATCTTTTCCGCCCCAGTAGAAGAAATTGAGTCCCAAGCCTTTTCTCTGAGCTACAGTACATCCCCAGCCCTCTTTTCCTTTTTAATTTTGAGCCAGGATCTCACATGTCACTGAGTTGCCCTGGCTAGGCTCAAACTTGTTATCTGCCGACCTCTGGGCATCTAGTTGTCTGGCTATGCGAAAGTAATATCAGTTAGTGAGTCATTACTCATGTTAAATGTTTACATATGAAGAAAACATGGAGCCTGATTGCTAGGAGCTCAAAGAATAAAGGAGGAACTGGTGTTCAAGCCAATGAGGTATCTTTAGTACAATGAGATAAGTGCACATGTGGACAGAGGAGCATGAAATAGAAAGTAGCAAGTTCTATGTGGGGCGAGGGTCATTTATATGAACTCTCCATTTGTGAAATAAGGGAAAAATAATAATTTTAACAATCAGCAAGCATAATATGTATTAACTTTATTATAAGTTTTATTTCATCACAACAGGAAACACACTATGGGTATTGTTCAATAATCATAAATTGTTGGTGACACAGAATGGTTATTTCTTGTTTTAAAAGATTAGAGTTTACTATTTAATTTGAATCCAGCACATTTTATAGGCTGTTTTGAAAACAGGTATTGTTTAACTTTGTTTCTAGGTATGTGTCTTCCTGAGTTCTCAAAAGTTAGAATCCCAGATGTCCATGCAATTTCAGACCTGTCTATATACAATTACATGGAGGTAAGGTTTGGCTTCATCCTACAAGACAGTTTACTGATGGACTAGTTATTGTCTTCTTTTTTTTTCTTTGCTTCAGCCCCATCTGATGTATGCTACATAAGATAGATACAGACAAGAATGAACACACACACACACACACACAAACTCATACACACATACCTTCATACACAGGCCATTCTTAACACATGGGTGGGTTTCAACTGTATAGCAGTAACAATGATCCACACACATTATTTCCTCCTATATTTGAGGGACACTTAGAAGGTAACAGAGAGGAGAACATTTCTAATGATTTACAGGTTCAAATCTTAGATATTTAGAAGTTATTTATATGATATTTTAATAAAAATATGATTCTGAGAAGTGTTAACATTATCACAATGTCTAAGAAATATTAAATGACCTTTCCACCCTTAATATCATGGTCTACAAATTTATAGTAGCATTGAATATCCTCTGGAGCCCTATGATTTGTTTTGGTTTTTGGTACGGGGGATTGAACTTAGGTCCTTGCACTTGAGGGCAGGCAACAGAACCACTGAGCCAAACTTCCAACCCTGTAGCCTTATACACTAACAAAAAATGTCTGGTACCAAAGAAAGTCCTTATCAGAGAGACTCAGACCTTGAAGAAATACGCATTGATTTCATTTTAAACCAGTCGTATGACAAGTGGTTGTAATCATAGCTTTAAAATAATGAAATGAAAAAAATGTGTAACATAAATTTAAAGAAGAGAATGATTGTTTCCCATCTCTCCTAAAGATGGAGGGGAGAGGGAGAGGAGTCCATCTTGAGCAGAACTTGGGATAAAGGAAATTCTAGAATGAGTAGAAAGACTATTGATGTATCTCACCCCAGTCTTTAAAACCAGGACACCTACAATGAAATATTTGTCTTGTATAAAGAACAGTAGTAGATCAAGATAGCCTTAGCCTCACATAATTCCTGGTTACCATAAACCATATTAAAAACCAACCAGGAAGCAACAGAAATTTGTCAAATCTTTGAGTTCACAGATTACTCACAGATGTGCTTGAAGAAACTCTTTGCTCAAATAGAGTTCTTGTAACAACATCTGAACAAAACAGACTTCTCTGATAGGTTTTTTGTTATTGTACATTTTCAAGGTTATATTCTGTATTATTGAAATGTGTGTGTGTGCGTGTGTGTGATACCGGGAATCAAACTCAGGCCCTTGCGCTTGCGAGGCAGGCCACTGAACTGCTGAGCTAAATCCCCGGCCCTATTATTGAAATTTCTTAAAAGAGATCAGGAATGACTGTTTATGGAAGTGGGAATTTTACTACTTGTATCCAGCTTTGTCATGAGTGGGAGTGAAAAGTAATAAGTTGTAGTGAGAAAATCGGTGTCACTTTGTTGGAGATTTTTTTTTTAACTCTTCATTGCAGATGCGAGCACATGTCACCTTCAAGTGGTTCATTTTTCAAAAGAACGTAGAGCGATTTCTTCATGCTATTATGCCATCTACATTTACCCCTCTCTATACCATGGTAAGATTTGGACTTAAGATGTTTGCTCATTTTAAATTTCTGTTTAGCCATTAAAAAATACACCAGAATCCTTTTTAAACTTCCCTATAGGTCACCTTTTCCAGAATAAGATACCATGAGGCAGTGCTGCGCTGGCATTGGCAAAAAAAGGTTGGAACAAATTACACTTAAAAAACAATCTAGTATGTTGAAGTATCATACTGTTATGGTCACATTTATTTCAAGACATTGAAGAAATGCTAGGACAGACGTCAAATGTTTGCCTTCCAAATAAAAACTGTCCTGAGCACACAGAGGGTAAAGCATCTACCAAACACTATATGAAAAATCAACAGAGAGAGAGCTTTTGAAGGGAAGAAATTTGCAAAAGAAATAAGGATAATATTTTGCAGCCTTCTACTTTATTTTAGCAAGGTGATCCATTCTTGACTTTTGTGTCATACAAGGTTCTTATTCATTTGTAAACTTGGACAGAACTGAAGCTCTCATAAGGCACTACCAAATTCCAATGCAATGCTATGACACATTTGGGTTGGGTTGTTGACCCAGAGGGCACCACTCAAGCACCACAGATTCCTGATCTTCCACTTGGAGAATTTATTCATTCAGTTTCAACAAATAGCTTTACTTAATGCATGAACACTGAGCAGGGCACAGTGGTGAACAAGAGTCAATCCGTACTCTTCACATAGCTCAGAACTTGTGGCAGGGTCGATGGACAGATGCTGTGAGAGGGATACATTGACCCTGGAGAGAACAGTCGTGGGCCGGATAGGTGAAGGCTGAAGAAACATGAGCAACACACCAGAGTAGGGATCTGGGAACCTGAAAGGCAGCACCTAAGTGTGAGAGGGGTCGGAGGGGAGGGTGCTTAAGCTTCTTGAATATTAACTTGAGAGAAATAGAGGGCTCATAAGACCGAGGCCAGATTTTAGAAAAATTGCTTTAGTGTGTAGAGAATGAATTGGGAGGAATCAAGAGGTATATATCAGTCCAAAGATGAATAAACTAGGGTTCCTGATCTAAAAGACATCAGAACAAAAGGGGAAAAGAGACAGCTACAGTTAGAATGAAGAACAGTAAGTGCAGCGATAGAAATCAGAGGTCTTGCAACTACTTCAGGTTAAATAACTAAAAGGAAATTGTGTGCTCTTTGGAGGTATAAAAATGAAGTGTATTTAAAGATTTCAATCTTTGGACAATCTTTTGAGCATTATTTCTGTCCTCATAGGTAATAAAAAAAGGATTCTTTGTCTTTGGATCTCTGATAGCCATTGGAACTATCTATCTGCTGGTGCACTACATGTCACCAAGACCTCTGGACTACTTAAGAAGACCATGGGAGTGGAGTCGCTCACTTCCAGGATATGGGGCACATTTCCCTGCAAACTCATGGAGTCGCTAGAACAAACTGCCTATTTCATTATCCAGTGATATAAAGATCATAAAGCAGCAAATGTGACCAAAAGTAAGAATCAATCAAGTGATTCTCTTGCCAGATATAATTCACTATTGGAATATAGTTGCCAGCATACAAATAAATTGAATGTAGAATTTCTCTGTCAGCTGCAATTATTGGGGCAGGGGATCTCATCTCTTTTTTTTTTTTTTTAAAGTTTCGATACATAGCTTCCCCATCACATTTTGCAACCTCAGCTTGGATCATTCTAAATTTTAAAAAATAATTTTAAAAAAGAATGACTAAGATCTTGTTCACTTCTCAAAAACTAAGGCCTCAGAAGCCTCCTGGAAGACACTGCTGATACTTTCCTTAAAAATGTGATTAACAATAAATATTTGGGGCTAAAACATCACAGCTTGCCTAACACATTAACTATACTTTTCATCATGTGGATGGAGCTTTTCTTACCACAGAGCTGAGAGTCACTTGATATAATCAGAAGTATATAGGAGGGTTGGGGAGTTCCAAAGAGTTACACAATGAATCTGTTCTTTCCCAGCCTCAAAATGCCAATATGACTTTCTGAAGAAATAAGAAAGCCATTGGTGCCATATTAGGAGAAGGCTAAGAAAGGATTTTATTCATAAATTAAACATTTACATATACATGAGTGTGGAAAGGAAACAAGGGGAATGGCTTTTATAGAAATATAAAGCCATATTTTACTCCATTTCAGACCTTCAGAAGCAATTTAATAACTTATTCTTTAATGACGTATTACAACAGAACCAGGAGTGAACTTGATTTTAAAAGTTCATTGAGTATATTTTCTTTGGTTCATCCTTCTTCAGTAGGTCAACTGAGTCACCTGTAGAAGTTGCTCAAACATGATTAAAGATGTAACACTAGAAGTAAATTTATTTAGGAAATTTAAAATTAAGCAATGAAATAGAATGATTCAGTGTTTCTTTTCAATGTTGTCAAAACATTCTTGACTCGTAATAACCCATGTTTGGTGTGTAAGGGAAGAGAAATGTTTCCTTTTACCAATCCTTTGGTCTTTAACTGGGGCCCCTATAACGAAAGACAGAGACTATAAAGAGAAAAACAGACACAAGTAGAAGTTTATTAACATGTATATTTCACATGGAAGATAACCAGAGAATGAGTAAATCTCAAAGACCTGGCTTAAATTAACATCTTCCACCAAGAACGGTAAATTTTAGAGAAATGCCAAGACAAAGAAAAATGACTTCCAGACTGAGGGCAGCAACTTGTAGGAAGGTAAACAACTGGGAGTTTTCCATGCAGATTCTTCTGGTGTTATCTCCAGGCTGACGAATGTCTAAAGTCTTCTGTGGTGGTCAACCTTGTTTTTGCTGGTAAAGAGGGGGAGGGGGCACATTTGTAAATTTGGGTCTTGCTTTTAGGCCAGTAAGGAGAGGCAGAAAGCTTTCTTGTATCATTTCTTCTCAATTGTTTTCAGCTCAAAATAATCATTATGCAACGGAGCATGTTTGGGGGTAGCATATTCTGGTTTCTTACAAGTTTAAACAGGGACTCATGGAAAAAGTGGCCCCTTCACTAACACTGACTAACAGACTAATTGAGGAGCAATGAAGACTAAATAATATATTTTATGAATACACTCAAATTCCTGTTTCCATACCTCTTTAGATTAAGTATGTTTACTTGGGACTCCTTTTATAAATCTAGAACTACTGGAAAAATTATGGGAAATTATTAAAAGGAAGAGATAATCCTGCCATGCTCATGTTCAAAATAGATGGAGATACTCACCTGCCACTGACGTCATCTTTATCATGTACATTCTCACACTGCTGTATAATTCACCATAGGCCATAACTACCCTGACGTCATGGCATTCTTTTTCTTTGCTATGATGTTCTTAGCAGCTCATTAGGCTAACCGTCCTCATTTTATACATATAGTTATAGATAAAGGTAGGGAATTTATTTTTACCCTAGAATTTATCTCCTTCACTATTGAAAGATAGTAGCCAGCATACAAATAAATTGAATGTAGAATTTCTCTGTTGGCTGCAATTATCGGGGGGCGGAGGATAAATTCTGTTTGGTCAAACATATGAATGGACTCTAAATAGGACCCAAAACTACAGAGAATTAAAGATGGTCTAGCTATTTCACACATATGTTTGAGACAAAGTTATTTTTACAATGAAATATTTTCAAGAAAAATTAGTATGTGCTTTGGCAAATATAGTCATTCAAAAATATATCTGAAATAAAAATTCTAACATGTTAGAAGATGATGGTGCCAGATGCTGGTCTTGTGCCACCAGTGGGGTTTTGTTATGTAAAGCACCCATTGCATTAAAATAATTTGTCTTGTTTCTTCTGGAGTCCAGAGAACATGCAGGCAGTCAGATTTCCCTCTGGACCACAAAAGTCTTGTTGACATTACATAGAATGCAGATTCCAGATCAATCCTTCTAATGGAAGTCCAAATGTGATACCAGTCTAAGGCTCACTCTTTCATTCCTATAAAGGGCGAACTTGGATCGTATCAACCTTGGACCCACTGGTTCTGTCACTATCATTGACAGATAGTGATTCATCACTGGTAATGATAAAAATAATGGAAGAAGAATTAAAAGTCACTTTCTTCTTTGGCCTGTCCCCATCTTTTTGTGACATCACAATGGGTCTGATCTGCATTTCACTCCCAACTGCTGGTAGGTCTTTAGCAGGCTGCTGGCATCTCAGCAATCGGAAACAGAGAAGTTGCAAGAGGGACCTTCGAAACTGGGCAGAGAAGAAAAGATAAAGTTGATTATTACTTAAAAATCAGGCCATTAATCTGGACTAACATTCAAGAAAATGAGTTGAGTTTAATTTGGGTTGCTTTTTGTTTGTTAGCTGATACAAAACGTATAGTAACGCTTAGGCTGATCTAAATCTTTCTGGGGTTTTATGCCTGATTTATTTTAATTTTTATTAACCAGACCACACAAAACTATTTTAACACCTTAATCCTCCTTACTTTCAGTCTGCATGTACCTTCTATGAGAACTGCTCTATCTAAGGAGTTTTCAACACATATTCAGTGCACAAATATTCAGTCCACAAATATTCAGATGACAGCCACTGAGCTATAATCTAGAGATACAGTAAGCAACAAAGGCAAACAAGACTGTTCTCGCAGAATTTATAGCCTGGAATGCTCATGAATGTCCTTTTAAATAGGAGAAGAATTTTTTTCTATTAGAATATTACAGTAGTGAATGCTAGATTTCAACAAAATGCATAATTTTTCATGTCCTGGGCACTACACAAGCCATATTTCTCAGCCCTTTTCAAGGTCTCCCCTTTGCTCTTCCCATTCTCTAAGAAACTTGGTGACCAAGGTCTGAAGATGACAACATCATGAAATGGAAGGGATGTAGGTTCCTTAAAGACTGCATGAAGTCGAGCCTGTCTCCTCCATCAAATACATTAGGACTCCAAGACCAACAGGCTTTCTGTGTTAATCTATTGAATGTTGGGGTTGTTACAGTAGTATGTCTGCTATAGCTAACACAAGATATAAATAAATAAAAAGTTAATTTGTTATCCATTTTGTTTAGAGCAAAATGAAAGTTGAATATGTGGGCCTTTGTAGATTTTCAAAAATCAGTTAAAAATAACAGCTACGTTATTTGTTTCCTTTGGACCCTCCCCCACAATTATATGTAAGTTAGCATTTAGCATATATTAACTTTTTTTTTTTTTTTAGTTCTGGGGATTGGACCTAGGGTTTTGTGCATGCCAAGCAAGCAATCTACATCACCAGACCCTGTATTCACATTTTAAACTATTTATTTGCTTGAATATTTATCACCAGACCATTGTTTGGTATATCAGGTTAAGTGCTAAAGATATATCATTATAAGGTTTAGAGTACATAGATCATATTTAATGCTTTTGTATACAAAGGTTAAGCTTGTTGTAGGTAAGAACCATTGTTATATTTTTTGTGTGTGGTTTTTGTATCTTTTAGACTTTTTATTTAAAGTAGGTTCCCCATGAAACAGAAATATCAGGACCAAGTGAGAGCTTGTTAGAAATGCAGAATATTGGGTATACAAATATACTAAATAAAAATATGCATAATTTTACAATATTTTCAGGTGTATATACACAATAATTTAGAAGTAAGGACTTATAGCCATTGGCTGAAAGAAAAAGTAAAACGAATTGTTAGAAAATATACTTATTTGCTGGAAAGTGGTCTTCAAAATTAGGTAAAATTAAGTTTAGTTAGACATTGGCTGTGTCATGAGAATAACCCAGAACAACTACTAACAGTATTTCCAAACTCAAATGGGAAGTTACAAGCTGTGGCTTTGAGGACTCAAGTGAACCAGGTTCAGGTCCTAGCACCAGTGCTTCCTGCGTCAGATGATCTATTTTACCTGGATCTGAAACCCACAAATAAAGGAATAATAAAGCCCATTGCATGGCACAGTTCTGTAAAGATATTAGGTGTAATCTGCAGATTACATAGTATAGTAAGCATTTAAAACATTAACTCTATAATTATTATTTAAGTAAAACCTCATTAGTAGTGGACAAATATTTTCTGATTAATTAAAGAGTAATTTTTATAGAATTTCACCCAGTAAGTGCAAATCTTTATTGGAAGGTCTTAGAACTATTATCATTTTGTTTGGCGATATCCTGCACTTCTTCCTAATCCCCTTACTTTCCTATAAAGTTCTTTATTTGGGTTTTTATCATTGCAGCTGTTCTGAATTACCTCTATAAAATTATTTTTCCAACCCTTCCCCCAAGGTGAAAACAGTAAATTAATTGTTAAGCTTACCTTTCTGATCATGAAAGTATAAATAACAGGATTGTATACTGTGCTGGATTTAGCAAAGAGATAAGAAACAATCGATACTGTTGGAGTGACTTGGTGTCCATAACCATTAACTACCAAGAAACAGATCACAATATAAGGCATCCAGCAGACTAGGAAGATGAAGACCATCAAGAAGCACATCTTGGCCACTTTCTTCTCATGTCTTAAAATCTTCATCACTTGAATCGTCTGAAGATCTTCAACACAACGAAGCTGCAGCATGGAGAAAGAAAGGCAGGAGCTGAAAATCTAGGTGCTCCCCAATGTGGAAAGAAGGGAGAAGTACCTGGGAAAGCTGACTTCTGATTCAACCATGCAGCTAGGCCCAGTCTTCATCACTCTGGCATCAGTCTCAACTGGGGCATGTTATGGTTGAACTGAATGATAGCCGCTGAGATCTTTCAGTGTTTTTTAATGTTTTTCTAATAAGAAGGATGAACTAAATTATTTTACCTGGATCTTCAAGTCCCTACAAGACAGTCTGAAAAAGTTATGATAAAATGGTAACAATTTCTCCATGATCCAGGAAACGCTTTTACCCAGAGCACTCATCTGCAAGATTCTCAAAGCAGGCAGTAAACAAGGGTCAGGTCAGGAGTTCTGCACAGTTAAGCCTACAGCTGAATGGGTGAGAACTTAATCCGCAAATAGGTTCTTGCTGGAAATGACTGTGTTTTTTTGATTCTCTGCTAATGGCTCCCGCTGTGGAATATGATGAGGAATTTGTTTGTGGTTGATTTCGTCAGGGGCTCATTTGTAGAGAACAGCACTTGGAAAAGCCCCATTCATCTGAAATCAACACATCTAGTCTGTCTTTACGAAAGGTGTTGAGGAATAACGATACGCAGTTCAAAAGTTCTTTGAGTTTCTCCCATAAGAGGCTCTTTACATCTTTCTCTTACTATTATTATCATAAATGTGCTATTAAGGTGAAGAAAATAATAAAATAGAGAATAGAAAAGAACAAAAATACATTCTGAAATAAAAATGGCTATTTTTGAGCATAGTAAGATACTATACTAATTCTGCTACTAAAATACAAAAGCTTTATATACTGATTTTTTAAAACGGTTATCTGATATACTACTGATACCTAGTATTAATTTCAAACTGAAAAATTTATTGTATTTCAATAAATTGTGAGTGTTCTTTAAGGATTATCATAAAAATTAAGGGAAATTTTCTGAAGCAATTCATTAAAACATATATAGTATTTAAAATATATTTGAATAGGCATTCCTAAATTATTGGTTATCATTTAAAATTAAATTTAAGAAGCTATTATTAAAATCATATATTCAGTTTGTAATAGCTAAATCTTGGAAACAGCCTATTTGCCTCCGTTGGAA